CACAGTTTGCGTGTGTGGAAGCAGAAAATGTGGCTGTATTCTACATTGCTACTGTTTTTTATAAAAAAAAAATAATAATAATAATAAATTGGTAACAATTGAAATTTTAGTTTGGCTTGTTATTTTAAAGGCTTCCAGGTTTGCTAACAGTTCTAGGAAGGCTGGCCTGTGTATTCAGAAGTTACCTATTTTCCCTCCTCAGTAAAGATATTTCCAATGGGTGAAATTCAACCCAGACAGCTATCCTTAACAGATACAAGCTGGGGCTCAGTATCCCCGAAACTAACGGCTGGCCTACACGAACACTGGGACTCTTAAGTTGCGCTGTTTCAGTTACGTAAATGATGTAACTGAAGTCGACGTGACTTAGGTTGACTTCCAGTGGTGTCTACGCTGCGCTGGGTCAACGGGAGATGCTCTCTTGTTGACATAGCTTCCACCTCCTGGGGTGGCGGAGTACAGATCGATTTAGTGCGTCTTCACCAGACCCGCTAAATGAACACCGCTGCATCAATCACTGCAGTGTCAGTTTAGCCAGTAGGGTAGACACGACCTAACATTTATTGGAATAGGTAGGTTCATAGTCCTATCTTCCTGAATCACTGCAGGAGTTTCATGGATTTTGGGATTAAACCAGAACAAAATACTCAATTGGTTAAAATGTTAACTTTTCTTTTTTGTGGGGCAGCTGTGTAACTACTATGCCCTCAATAACTTACTTATGGAGAATTACTCTCACGGAGTTGAAGCAATCTGGTTTTAATGTCCTAGCCCTGTGCCAGTCCAGTGAAAGAGAGATCCAAACCATCCCCATGTCAATCAATTGCCCAATCCAAACAAAATTACAGGACGCACACCCACTGTGCAGAGCCAACATACTTAACATGCCATAGCAAATGCCATGGGATATTTCATTGACTTCTGTATTGTAAATGCTCTTGAACAGGACAGATTTGAATTTAAACTTGGAATAGTAAAAACCAGAGAGCTAACCTACAACTTGAGAGTTAACTGGAAAAAAACACTCTTGTCTGCATGCAGTTAGAGGCATTTCCCTGTTCTCACTTTACTGAGTTAACTTTTGGGTTGAAATGTATTATTCTTAGGCCATGTCTACAGTTACAGGTAGATCAGCACTGCTGCAATCGATGCAGCAGGTGTCAGTTTAGTGGGTCTAGTGAAGACCTACAAAATCAATGCTCTTTGGTCGACCCTGATACTCCACCTCCCCGAGAAGAATAAGGAAGTCGACGGGAGAGCATCGCTCGTTGACGCAGTGCCGTGTAGACACCGCGGTAAGTCAACCTAAGCTACATTGGCTCCAGTTACATAACAGGTGGCAGCAACCTTCTGCATCCTAGCAAGTTTAGACTCTTACAGCTGTCATACAGTGCTGAACCATGCATAAGCTATCTGTAATTTGCCTTCACCTTAATTTATCACCTGAACCATGGCTTGCAGAGCTACTTCAGTAACTGGCAAATTATAGTTAGTGTGTGTGTGTGTGTGTGTGTCATCCTAAAAAGAATAAATTATGGCAGTAGCAATGAGGCAGCGACTTGCTGGAGTATAAAAGCCAAGCAGGTTTATCGCCAGATTTCACATGTTCAGCTCCTTCACTTGGGGCCAGGCTTGTGCAAGAGTCTAGCACTCAACTTGCTACGTTTTTCTGAAGAAGGCAGCCCTTTTGTCTCCACATACTTATTCTCGTCCATCTTCAGTCTGTCCTACTTCCTCTCTGTTTGTTTGTCTCCTGCTTCAGCAAACTTTTAAATAACCTGGTCAAGTAAGGCTTGCAACTGTGCATGGTAATTTCTGTGGGTAGCAGTCCATCTGCACAAATTGCAAGGCAGGTTACTGTGGGCTCTTCTACAGCTGAATTCCTTGACTTGAACTGATGTGCATTAACCTAAGCTTTGCATATTTTAGTAGAAGAAATCTTACATAGACTGAATCAGTTTGACACTCAATAATAGGAATTGCTTTTATTAACAAATCAACCCACGTTGTTGAAAGCTCTATCCACTAGGCAGCAAATATTTTGGTTAGCAGCAGTGGGGATGGAGAGGTATTAAAGCAGCACACAGAAAGGAGCTAGCTCATTCAACCAGTGCAACAAGCATTGAATTACACAAGAGCCTGAATCTGTATGACCTTTTACATTCAAATAAACTGCATGCCCTCACTCATGCAGAGATCTTCCTGGAGGGATAGGGTCATGATAATGGGGTTTCATGGAGTAGGCTCACAGTTTTGCCTTAAGACTACAGCTGGTCAAAACTCAGTGAAACACAAACTCTCCCCCCCCCCCCCCCCCCTTCCCCCTCTTCCAAGCAGGTCTAGCTAACTTACTTTGGCTTCACGTTTCCCAGTATCAAATCTCTGAATGTTTTTTATATGTCAGCAATCAAGGCTGTGCTCATGCCAGCTGCCTCTATGGGCACACCCTAGGGCACATGCAGCTCCCACTGACTTCATTCAGCCTGCATGCATCTCACTATAGGATCAGGGGCACAGATTTTTGCAGAGTTCCAGCACAGACCTATGCAATCTGTAGCTCTCTGTAGACATTTTGTAATAGCTAATTGACCTAATCCTCTGGTGTGAACTGGCCTAGCTCCACCCAAGTGATTACAATAGGGCAGTTTACACCAGCTGTGCACTGCAGCTACAAGGGGAATCTCGATAGATCACATAACTCTAGTGTCAATAGCTGATGACCAATTTTAGGTATTTTTCTGTATACTCAGTGTAAGTATGCTCAGAAACGTGACCATTCAAATTAGTGTGTCTTATACTCAGCATATCTGCTAGGGTAGGCCCTGGATTCTAGAGTCTCCTAAATCGCCACCAACATTGAAGTGTCCCATTTTCAGTTTAGCATCGAAGCTTTAGCTTTTAGGAACAGAGCCATTTTTCCATTGTCTATATTTAAGGGTTTACATAGCTTTGAACTAACTGAAGGCTTAAGATTTGTCACAACCAGCTCCAAAAATTAGTGCTAATAAAATAAGCTTGTGTGGGGCAACAAAATATATGCAGTAAAGGAAGAACCTTACTCTTTTCTCTAGCAGCTTTGTCTGCAGGCAAATGTAAGTTGCCTTTCATTAGGCACTGGATCATTTACAAATGCAACCCAAGTCTGACAAAGGCAATTTTAAAAGCATTCTTAAACATGATCTGGTGGCTAGCTTATTGTAGCAACCACACAATACTGCAAATCACAGGATCATAAATGGGACAGATCCTCGACCGTTATAAAATTGGCACAGCTTCATGGCGCTCAGCAGAACAATTTATACGGATTTATAGCTGCTGGGGAGTTGGCCCACTATATAGATAATAAGTTTGCCAATTACTGAGGGAAATTAGCAGTTCCACTTGGCGTTTCCAGGAGTGGAGCATTTTAAGTCAACCTCTTACAGACCAATGAAGCCACAAGGCCCGGTATTAGGCAGGTGTCCTCTCCACCAGCTCTGGAATGCTGTAGCACAGGTGACCCACTCCTGTGTATGGCAGTAGATGCTTGGGAATTACTAGTGGCATGATGAGCTAAGGCCTGAGCCAAAGCCCACTGAAGTTAATGCGAGTCTTCAGGGAGCTCTGGCAGCTGTCAGGATGTGCAAGTTGCCATTTCTGCTGTGGAGGCCAGCTAGCAGGATGAACTGAGCCTGTGTGCCCTAAGGCTAACTTTCCACACCCCACAGAAGAGGGACCACTGGGAAAAGGGAGTCCTGCAGCATGGGGCAGCTCAATACAGCAGGCCAGAAGAATGCATGCATGGTATATGGAGGGGATGGAACACAGTGGAATACCTTCCACCACACCCAGTCAGTTTCCCCACCATGGTTGGACAGAGCAGCTCTTTCTTCAGCTTGCTGGGTTGCTCTGGGCCAGGGGTTGGAGGCTGAGCACTGGATACTATGGAGCAAAGGGGGCAGACCTAGATTCCCATAAAACCCCTCTAGAGTTATTCTGCCATTTCCTGGATCCCCCTGTGTACTGGTTTGACCCCTGGGATTGCTACACTGTTGAGACTGTGATATTCCCTGCGTAGAGAGTTCCCTGCCCTTCTAACAGCCACCCCCTTTCTTGGGCCCACACTCTAGCACATGCCTACTGAATTCCCAGCACTATAATTCTCAACCATCAAATTGTGTCTTCACCCACAGAAATTAAACTCAGGGCAAAGTTTCATTAAACTTTGGAAAGATTTTTCACATGAGACACAATGCAGAAAGGATATGATTGGAGCCTCCATATCATGACATCAACCATTCCGATTTTATACTCTAGACAAGGCTTTCAGACATGGGACGTGAAGTTCTTCTCTTTGGCTGAGATTTTGGAAGGAGGCCAAGGGCGTCTGGTGAAATTCAATGGGAGTAGCGCACCTAACTTTGCAAATCCAATTCCTCAATCCTCACCATGGTTGCTAAAAATCCTGATTTTTCAAACACGTTGAGTACCCAGCATGTCCCACTGAAGTTGGAAGCAGCTGCTGCATGCCCAGAACATTCGAACATCAGGGTATCTATTAAGACACTTAAATATAGACATAGGAACCTACAGACAGATGGCTATTTTCAGAAGTCTTGGCCTTTCTGGTGGGCATCTTCTAGGAGCATCAGATTGCTTATCTGAGCTCCGAACTAGTCAGTGTCTGCTCCTCCAGGAGCCATACCAACAGACACATGGACACTTTGGTTCTGGATGATCTAGTGAAGACACACACTCACAGATCGCAGGGTGGGCAAATCAACTTTAATACCTGCAGGTGGAAGACACAGCAAAGAACCTAAAACAGTTGGGCTTTGTCCTTTTAAATAAAGTCTCCAGAAAGTTACATTTTGAAAATCATTGCCACAGTTAGCATCTGACAAGTCCCTGTGTAATCACTGAAGAAGTCAGATTGGTGGATCCAGCTAAGTATTCATTCTTATTCAAGCCAAAAGAAAGTTACTGTAAACATCACATTCGCTAAATGCGTAACTTTCCTGATACTACTTCACCAGAACACGGCCCTGGCTACGCATGGTATTTCAGCATGCACCTCACTTCAAGCATGTGCCTAGATCAACAGGACCACGAACAAGCTGAACCAGGCCCAGGGGAACAGCAAACCTACTCCGTTTTCTTCTTCTTTACAATCCTACCACATTTCTTACAGCAAAACAAGCAGCATTTGACAGCAATGAAAACAGCAGCTGCTGCACAGGTGAGCAAGAACGCCAGGACGTCCAGGCAGTGATACTGGTACCAGGTGAGCTCGTGAGCTGCTGGTCTCAAGTGCTTTGCCCCTTTATGGCGCATGACAAATTCGATCCAGAAGACAGCTCTGTCCAGAGGCTTTATGGGCTGGTCGTGGTGAATCTGGGATAATCTCACTGCATTTTCTTTATAGCTGAAGGAATCGGGGGGAACAAAAATGACATGGTGGTTATTCTGAAACAGCGCTTTCCCTACTGTATGGGGCAACTAGCAAGCAAAGGGATCGCTGACCAGGCTCCCTGCTCCACACTACAGGGTCAAGTCAACGTAAGCTGCCTTGTGTTGACCTAGCTGTGGAAGCGTCTTCACTTAAATTTGGCTCCGCTGACGTAAGTGCCTCTCTACGCCGATTTAGTGACAGCCTCTCCCCGAGCGGTGTAGAGTCATGGTCGATGTCATCAGGGCGACGCAGTGTCAGTGCAGACGATGCATTGCTTACGGTGACGGTTGCTGGCTTTCAGGAGCCGTCCCACAATGCCCCGCACTGACAATGCAATCAATACTAGTGCTCCTGGTGAGGACGCGCACTGCCGACTTAAGGAGCCAAGTGTGCGCACACACACAAGCGATTTAATAACTGCAGTGAGGGCTGACATAAGTCTCATGGCCTGAGTCAAGATTTAAAGTGGGCCGAAAAGATAAGCTAGCCCCAGTTTGCTATTACATAATGAGACTTCTTCAGAGGGTTCGCCACAAGACATTCCTAGCGTCCAGCTTTTTCTGTTGTCATTTTCTCTTGCAAAAAATACTTCTGGGAAGATAATTTGCAGGGTTTTCCCTGCAGATCTCATGTTTCACAGCTTGAGACGGGTGGAATTCCCCCAGTGCTAAAGGTTTTGGTCCCTACGGACAGTGGTAGCAAGTTGGGAAGCCAAGACTCAGTGTCACAAACTAGCCAAGAAGAAGTTTGCCCGTCGTATGTGTGAATTGGAAATTGGCTGGGTGACTTCATTCAGACTTGCTCCAAGAAGGGAGCAGAGGACTACACAATCTCAGGGGCTGCTCCAAGGCCTTTTCAGAGCGATCTTTCCCAAAGAGATCACAAAATACAATATGAGGGAAATTGATTTCCGGACCACACCTTCCAGGAGCTGCTGCAGGTTTGATAGTATCCTTGGACCAACACAGCTACTACAACCCTGTCCCATTAGGCAGAGACTGAACTCACCTGGAGTTGTTAATGACCACATTCAATGCATCAATTAAATCCTGGGCTTGCATTGTGTTAAAATCCAGCTCGACTGCCATTCCTTTCGCCTTCATGTGAGCAATGTTATCCGGCTGGTCAGCGAACAAGGGAATCCCAACCATGGGAATCCCATGGTAGATAGCTTCATAGATCCCGTTGGTTCCACCATGAGTAATAAAGGCTTTGGCCTTGGGGTGGCCTGGAATAGGAGGAGAGAAGCGTTTAGGAACGATGAGGTACATAAATGATCAGATTCCAGGGAAGAAGGCAACAATTTTGTACAAACTAGGTAAATAATGATTAGTTTGACAAGGGGCTAGTCCTGATTACTCCAGACTAGCATTAGGGACGGATAATGGTATGTACATGCTTCAACCCTAGCCAATGGGGAAATACCTTGCAAAACGTTACAGACTCTGCTATTGATCTACGATTAAGGCTGACCCAGCAGAAAGTTGTATTTTATTCACACCGATCCCCGCACAGGTTACAGTGCCTGGATGCAGCTGGAAAAGTGGGTCTCCTGGAGCCGCGCTGGCTCACATGTTCTGGGGCTGCCCTGGGACACAATCCTTTTGGCTAGAAGTAGGCAGGAGGGTTATGATGATGATAGATACAGAACCTCCCTAAAAACTACTTCCCCGATGTGTGCTTTGGGATCTATCCCATCAGCTGGGCAACTCTCCAACTCACAGAAAGCTCGGCTTTCTAGAGCCGTGCTTCTAGCCAGACGATTCCGATTGCTCGGCTAGATTCCTGGCTCAGTGGCTCTGCTGACCTGGCAGTTAAAGGGCGGGTCCCGTTTCAGAGAAGAGGGACCTCAGACCAAGTATTTTCAAATTGGTTAAACTTTTTGAAACCTTTGACTAATCCCTAGCAGATGGAAACTGAGATGTCACTCTCCTTTCCCCTCGGTTCCCCTCTTTCTTTCCTTCCCCTCCCTTCACTCTTTGCTCTTTTTATGCCCCCATTATCCCCTTATTTTTGTAAAAAAAGATTCAATAGAATACAAATAAGAAGGGAAAGGCAGTGGCTGCCTTCTAGGTACTTATGTTTAAATGCTACACACCAGTTACCGGGCCTGATTCACTCCCAGTACTCCAGTTTATCCCAGTATAACTCCAGTTTTTGCATCACTTCTGCTGCCCTTCTTTGTATTTACTCTAGTTTTTGTCAGGGGAGCCACACACACTGATTCCAAGGGTAGTTGCCCCAGGACAAAGCAATGTTATCTCTCTGGTTTTATGGGCAATGCTATTTCGGTCCCTACAGCTGAGAACCGCCAAGTACCTTTGAGAAGCCTATCCTTGCTCTGCTACCATCATGGGTATAATTAAGGCTGAGTAAGCACCTCTCTCTAGATAACACACACTAAATACCCTGGCCTCCAAGTGACCTCTGAGGTACTGTATTTGGTTACAGGATTAGCTTGTGTGTATAATGGGCAATCTAGTCTTTTTGTCATAAATAAAGTGAGTAAAGTGGGGAGGGAACACGCTTGTCAATACTGAGAAAAGCTCAGCTAGGAACATTTCCAGCACAGAGTCTTACCAAGCAGGTCATTCTGGGGTATCCAGTCATAAATCCTAGTGTTGGGTCCTAAAGTTTCTGGTTTCTTCCCTTTGTACCTCCAAAGAACCTTGAATGAAAATGTTTGAAGATACACGAGCTGTGGTTCAAGCTGCACTATTGCACTGCAATGCAAATCTGGAGCCTGATCCAAAGACCACTGATGTCTACTGGAGTCTTTCCATTGCTTTCAATGAGCTTTAGATCAGGCCCTGCTTTAGCAAGGCTTCTTTTGAGCACTTGAGTTATTTACACACTTTTGTAATAGGGTATTATACTATTTATTAGCTTTGAGAGCAGTATTATCCCCATTGTACTGATGGAGAAACTGAGGCACAGGTGGTGAAGTGACTTGCCCAAGGTCACCCAGCAGGCCAGTGGCCAAACCAGGAATGGAACCCAGTCCTGCTCTCTATCCACTAGTCCACACTGCCTCATTTTGGTATGGGAACTCACCCCACGTGGTTTCGTTCAAGTGAGTCATATACAAGAAAAATACTATAAATTCAATTTCTGTGACCACTCAGGACTCAGCCCTGCTTCTTTGCAAGCCCCAAACCCAGTGACTTCAACTGGAGCTGCTGGGGGGGGGGGGAGAAAAAAAATCAGAGCACTTACACTGAGTGGAAGTAAAGAGCCTACCTTTAGGCAATGCAGTTTGAAAGCTGTGGCCTGAGGGAAGCAGGGATTTTACAGCAGTGCTGCTGATCTTGTTGGCAGGAATGTAGATCATTTACAGAAACTGACCTTTTGTGGAACCTGGCTGAGGGCCAAGGCAACCATTTTACTTTTCTCCTCGGTTAAGTTGTAAATCATTGAGCCAAAAGAAAACACCACGATACCATGTTCCCCTGAACTCTGGACAAACTCTTCCATTTCCTGAAGAGAGACAAGAGCCTTTTAATTTTGGAAAGCAGCCACACCATCCAGTGCGGTTGTGTTCTGTTCATGGCCCACCTACGAAATAAAACCAAAATACTCTAACCTGAAAGGTCTAAGCGTAACACTGTTTTTTCCTTAGACTCCAGAAATCTCACACACAACAACCAAATACAGAAGCACCTCAGGGAGAGAGGCACAACTCAATCCACCATGCCCTAGGCTGGCTCTTTTGCAGACTGACCGCAGCTTCCCTACAGAGTAGTCTGCAAGCAGGAGCAGAAACCCCCTTAAAATGACAAGCTATCACTTTAAATTCTAACCCACTTTTCAATGCACTTCAGATTGAAATAGGTGAAAGGTAGTCAATAGAAATACACATGGCAAGAGACATATGTTTATGTAAATACAAAGCTTATCAAAGAGAAGGCTAAAATGTTATTTGATCATGGTCTCTAAGCACCTACATGGGGAAATTTCTTATAGCAGAGGGTTCTTTAATCTACCTGACACAGGTATAATGATCCACTGGCTAGCTTTAAAAAAAAAGGGATTGCGTGGGTAACTGGTTTAACAAGTTTCAGAGTAGCAGCCGGGTTAGTCTGTATTTGCAAAAGAAAAGGAGGACTTGTGGCACCTTAGAGACTGACCAATTTATTTGAGCAGAAGCTTTCGTGAGCTACAGCTCACTTCATCGGATTCATGTAGCTCACGGAAGCTTCTGCTCAAATAAATTTGTTAGTCTCTAAGGTGCCACAAGTCCTCCTTTTCTTGGTTTAACAAAACTTTTCTCGTCAGCGTTTGCTAGCTGTTGGTGCCGAGCAGTTCCATCTGGCCATCATTTCTATCCGACCCAGGCGACGTCTACACTACACACCACTTTCGTCAGCGCGTAGCGTATATGCAGCTACACGCTGCAGGGAAAAGTGCACCACATCCATGCTGCAGTGCACAGCTGCCGGTGTCAGGGAAAGGGCTCTGGCAGAGGGGAAGCGGCAAGGAAAGGCTCAGTCTGTCCCTGCTGCTTTGCCCCTGCCAGAGGCTTTCCCTGCCGCGGGGAATGGGCAGAGCCTTTCCCTGTGGAGGGGAGGGCTGTGCAGCAGGGAGCAGCTGGCACCTTTCCCTGTTGCTTCCCCCCGCCAAAGGCTCCAGTGGCCAGATGTTATGCTGCTAAAAACAGCAATACAGATGTGGGAGACGACACAACACATCAACCCTAGAATGGCCTGGTGGATATAGGGCTGATACGGGAGAGTCAGATTCAAGTCTGAAATCAGGAAGAGCAGGTACCTGACCCTGGGCCTCTCGCATACCAGTGTAGGATCATATTAAAGAAGTTCTGTATTAAAATCACAAAGGTTAGCCCACTCCCCATATTACACATGGGATCCTTCTGGCAACCCTGGACCTCGAGCCAGTGGGCTGGGGAGGGAGGGAAGCTATTGGACACTAGAGGTTGTACCGAATGGACTCCTCAAAAGTGGGTGTGCCTCACCTTGCCTGTTGCCCCAGAACCTTGTAGTAAAGATACATCACTAGGATCATGTATGTGGGATGAATTGGAATCACAAACTCAAAATTGCCTCACAGTACCTTCTCTTGAATAGGCTACATAGAAAGTGACACTGACGATTATAAATCTTAGTGTCAAAAGGGGGATTATGCTGGATCATATTAAAGAAGTTCTGTATTAAAATCACAAATGAGTTTGATTTCCCATAGTTTAAATTCCAGGGTATTACTAATTAAGAGGTCTGAAGGGTTAATGTTTAGCTATTCCACCTGGAAGCAGGCGGGGCACACCCTGACTGTTTCGTAGAAGCAATGCACACATTGCTCTATCCAAGGACAAGGGCTAGACATGAACCATGAGAACTTGATTGTTTGGACAGCAATTGTGGGAGGCTTTCTTAGCCTGGGCTCAAGGCCTGAGAACCAGGATTGTAGTAGATAGGGGATGGTAACTAAGTATATGAATTAACGTCATACATTCTTTTTGTGGTAGCAGTGTGTAATGCTTAGGGGGGAGAAATATAATAAAAGGAGAAGGTGGAAGGCGGGAGGGCAGAATGCCCATCTCAGGTGACCAGCCTGCTTGCTTGGAAAAAGCTGTGTTCTGTCTCATCACTGAACCGCCACAGAGGTCTCTTGGTTTTTGGTACTGTTTCTCTCCCTCTCTGTGTGAAACTTGCAAGCTGCTAATTGTGTTAGTAGTACATTCTAAGACAGAGTCTGTTCTCAAAGCAATTCTTTGTAACAACAACAACTACTCGCACACAGAGAGAGACTCAAAGCAATACTCTGTAACAGAAACAGCACCCAGAGACTCCCCGCCCTTTTGTTGTATTCATCCCTCTTTGTTAATAATTCTGATTAAAATAGAGATAGAGGATGTATGTGGATGGATGCCTGGTGTGGAAAATAACTGAATGATCAGGGAGGTGCCTTCCTAAGAATCCAGTGTCCATCGGCTGAAGAAGGCATCAAGTGGAAATAACCAGAGGACCCCCGGAGGGCAGACTGGAATCCACCCAATAGCCTCAAGGATGGGAGAACCGAAGAACAAGATAACATCTGGCAGCACGGAGCCCTCAGAAATGTGCCATCTGCTGATTGATTCAGCAACAGCATGATGAAGCAATTCTCATAGACTGGCATAGGAATAAATGCCTATAAAAATGGACTCTAGAAAGTGAGAGCTTTGGGGTCTGATTCTGCAAACCAACTTCCAGGAGCATCAGATGAGCATCTGACAAGGCCCTGCTCCCTCCTCATGTCCAGGCCACCTGGCCAGTGACTTGGCATGAGCAACTCTAAGACTGGTAACTATGATAACAACCTTGCAGAACCTCTGTGTGTGTGTGTGGGAATAAATATAAAATTGAATGGAATGTTATAGCTATAACTAACTGCTTACTATGATTCTTTCTGTATTCACAATAAATGTGGCATTTTGCCTTCTCCCCTTTAATAAGATCCTGCTGGTTTTTATTTTATTGGATCCTAGAAACTGTCTCTCTTTAAAACGAAAAGGAGTACTTGTGGCACCTTAGAGACTAACCAATTTATTTGAGCATGAGCTTTCGTGAGCTACAGCTCACTTCATCGGATGTATACCGTGGAAACTGCAGCAGACTTTATATACACACAGAGAATATGAAACAATACCTCCTCTCACCCCACTGTCCTGCTGGTAATAGCTTATCTAATAGTGATCAACAGGTGGGCCATTGGCTTTAGATAAGCTATTACCAGCAGGACAGTGGGGTGAGAGGAGGTATTGTTTCATATTCTCTGTGTGTATATAAAGTCTGCTGCAGTTTCCACGGTATGCATCCGATGAAGTGAGCTGTAGCTCACGAAAGCTCATGCTCAAATAAATTGGTTAGTCTCTAAGGTGCCACAAGTACTCCTTTTCTTTTTGCGAATACAGACTAACACGGCTGTTCCTCTGAAACCTCTTTAAAACGCAGCCCAAGCAGGTTTCAGGGAGAGACCTCTGTTTCAGACTCGAGCTGCAAGGGAATTTTCCAATGACTGCGGGGGGAGGGGGAGGGGGACGACACACGACACAACACATCAACCCTAGAATGGCCTGGTGGATATAGGGCTGATACGGGAGAGTCAGGTTCAAGTCTGAAATCAGGCAGAGCAGGGACTTGACCCTGGGCCTCTCGCGTACCAGGAGTGGGCTAGTGAGTCTTTCTAGTTTTTCACAAGACACTGTTGCAAAGCTCTGTCTCCTCCTCATGCACAACAAGAAAAGCTTTGAAGTCTCAAAGATTCCCAGGAGAGGAAAACTGTTTCCCCCCCAGTCGGGTCAAGACAACTAACACATCAAAACATGGTGAGGCCAGGAGCAAGACTCCAAAGATTAGAGACAGAGGGATGGCTCCTCAGCTGTAACATATTAGTGTGATTCCATTGACTTCAACAGGACAAACCCATTCCCTGCACTACGCAGTTCGGGGGCAAATGACACCATCACAGCGGAAAGTGAAACTTGTGGTCTCCTGCCTGACTCAGCAGATTTCCTGGGAGCTGCTGCGTTATTATTGTTATTAATGATTCACTTATTTCTGTATTACCTGCAATGAGGCACCCCTCCCTGGTTTCTGGGTGCACTTCTCAGAGTGCAGACCAACGGATCTGTTGCCCTCAAACTAGGGAGCACATGCCATGACTCTGGTGGCTACTACATCTGTCCAGAAGACTAGTTCCCCATGGATAGTTTAATACCTGCCGTTTGTAATTAGCCAGAGTCAGACAGATTCGTGGCTGCAGCTGGTTCTAGGGATGGTGGCCTACATTGAGAATGCCTTGCCTGCAGCTCCCGTGAGCTCCTCTCATGTTCAGGCCAAGGTGGATCATGGAGAGAGAGGGTTTTTAGAACAACCAGGGCCTAGTCATCTGAACCTTGGAATTTCAACCCAACACAACTAGCTAGCTCAGTAGCCAGCAGCAGGTATGGACCACAGATCAGAAACATGTTCAGTAAACTATAGGATCCCCACAGGCCATCAGGGTCCTGGCCCAGGGGCACAACAGCAGTATCCCACCGAAGGACACCCCTGAAATACTGGAGGGTCCATGAGTTTCCAAGGCCAGATAATTGCACCCTGTCCATCAGATCCCATTGCCCCAGAGGAAGATTGTCTTCAGATCTAAATGATACATTTCCCTTGACTTCATGGTAAAGCACACGCATGAAGGAGAAGAGACGTCATGATACCACCACAGTATCATTGTTCTGAGACTCAGAACAACAGCTGTCATTTCACTAGTTACTCAGAGACAGCTGATGGAAGAATGCCAGTTAAGGAAGCTTTGACAGATATGCACAAAAGCCTTGAAGTCACAGGAGAGCAATATAAATACCCATAGCTCCATTTTTCCCAGTCTCCACCACCAACGGAGACATTTGTCTTCTTGAATTGGAAGTGCTCCTGGAACGGACATCAGGTCTGAACCCCAAGAAGTGGCCAAGTCATTGAAAAGATAGGCACACGTCCAAGAACTACAGCCAAGATTTTCAAAAGCAACTCGTGATTTTGGCTGCCTCAGCTTTTGGGAGCCTAGCTCGAGACATCTTAAAAGGCAGATGCTCAGCACATTCAGAAAGATCAGGCTCCTTCAAAGTGTCTCAATTGAGAACCAAAATAAAAATAAAAATCTCGACACCCAAGATCGTTAGTCATTTTGGCGAGTCATGGCCGAGACTTTTACAGTGCTGTTGCTTTTCTGATTATTTTGGCCTATCCCATTGCTGTTTTCCATAGCATATTTCAGCCTTTAAACTGATACTTGCTCCTTAGAATTAATTAAAACTTATGGTCAACTAATAATATGATCTGACATGGTCCTGAGGTTTTTATTTTTTAAGCTGAGCACTAGATTCACTACTGCTATGCCTTAACTACCCCCCCCCCGTAAGGATCCACAGGTGGGTCCTACACACGCCTATCACAACACGTGGTGTACCTCATCCAGTACACTAAATACCTCAACAGCAGCTATGGGGGTGAAACCAGATAATCGCTACACTCTCAAATGAACTCACACAGGAAAATGATAAAAGACAAAAACACCCTGTCACCTGTGGGTGAACATTTTTCACAGAACAGTCACTCCATATCTGTGCTCTCAGTCCTCATCCTCAAAGGAAACCTGCCCAGTACTTTCAAAAGACGAGCCTGGGAGCTTAAATTCATTACTCTGCTAGACACTAAAAACCATGGACTGAACAGAGACACTGGATTTATGGCTTATTGCAACAATCTGTAACCCCCTAAATGACCCCCTCTCCCCCTTCCTTTCCTCCCTATCACTGGAGAGATCTTAACAGGCCACTTCACCTCAGATGGTCACTTGAAATGTGGTAGTTACTTATGCTAAACAATCTGTTCCACCTTGCATTTAGCTGTGACACTTTCTGTTTCCCAGACCTGAAGAAGAGCCGTGTGTGGCTGGAAAGTTTGTCTCTCTCGCCAACAGAAGTTGATCCAATAAAATATATTACCTCACCCACCTTGTCCCACCAGCAGGCAGGCAGGTAATTGACTACAGGCCAGCTCCTGAACTGGTGTAAATCAGCACAGCTCTAGAACTGGCCCTGTATTTTCAATCCGCAATGGAGCATCATCCAACATTGCAGTAATGCATAAGATTTCTCTTGCCCAAAGCTGACATTGTTCTCAGCAAGCGTCTCAGGATATGGCATACTCTGCATGTGGAAATCAGAGAAACAAACAGCTGTTGATCTGATGGGCAGATGACTAGACCAAGGGAGCGTATTAAGGTACCTCAGGTAAAGGCTTTGCAGGCTTGCAGTGGAGTCCCCCAACAAACTCAAAGTTAGGCAGGAAAGGGCGAGGGAATTCAAAATCCCAGTACGTTCGGATCAGCCACATCTCTGCTTTGCCCATCGTTTCACACAGCGTCGTGGGCCTTCCTGCAAGCAAAAGATCGGGAGTTAAAATTAGCCCAGGAGGGAGCAGTCTTGCTCATTGTCTGTTGAAACATACCAGCCCTACATCTGAGACCTGGCACTCCTGGACACTGTTCAGTGCAGCATGGCCTAGTGAACAGAACTGGGACTCAGGAAACCTGGGTTTTATCACACCTCTGCCACTGACCTATTGCAGGACCTTGGGCAGGTGACCTCAACTCTCTTTCCCCTCCCATCCTGCAGTCTGACACACTGCAGCTTCACTGATTTACCTTAAACTGGGTTTGTTCAAATGGTGCAACCGTGTGTCTGGGACTCTCTTATAACTTGTTTTAGTCAGATCTCTCAGTTGAACTGGTGCCTGTACACTTCAATTGATTCACTTTACATATCTAAGTGGCTCCACAAAGTTACAGAGGTTTAACTAAATTGGTATAAAGTTACACCTTTAGCTGAATCACGACAGCTGTGTGTTTAGACCAGGCCTTAGATTGCAAACTCTTCAGGGCAGGGATTATGCGTTTGTCCAGGGGCTTAGCACAGGGGACAAGCTGCTACTCTCTGATAAATAATAGGAATGAGTCTCAATCACGTTGATCACAGCTAGGAATGAAGATTGTCAATGATGCAGCCCCATGTCCTGCCCTGTTCAGAGCTGCAGTGCTGACTAATAGGATTTTCACACCCACATGACACCTTGATACAGTCAACTTTGATCATAACACAGGTTAGTTAGTATGCAGTGTTGTTGTAACCATGTTGGTCCCAGGATATGAGAGAGACAAGGTGGGTGAGGTCATATCTTTTATTGGACCAACTTCTATGGGGGAGAGAGACAAGCTTTTAAGCTACACAGATCTTTCCTTCAGGTCTGGGAAAGGTACTCAGGCCTGGTCTACACTACACGGTTAGGTCAATTTAAGCTGCCTTGCATCAACCTAAGTGTGGAACTGTCTTCATTTAAATTTGGCTCAGCTGATCTAAATGCCTCTCTACGCCGAGTTAGTAATACCATCCCCACAGACAGCCCGTGGGGCATCCCGCCCTGAACAACTGATCTCACTGCAGAACACAAAACTCACCTAACTGGAGACGGGGAGTGGTGGGAAGGCAGGGAAGACTCTGCAAGAACCAAATCCTGTCCCGGGTGACTGATTGTTCTGCTAAAGGAGCCGATAAATTCAACAGCAGTCCCAGCAAACTGCTCACCTGCTGGGCAGCTGATAATCATAGAGGCGTTTGCTCTCATTTCTGCATAGACACAGTCTGGAAAACAGCCCACAGCTGACAACACTATAAAGACCTCTCAAATCATCTGTACATCTGTACTTTGCTGGGCCAAGCATTCTATTGGGCTTACCCACATCTTTAAAGTGTGTTGAGATCTACAGATAAAGCACTACAGATATATACAACATTGTGAGTAACCTTATCTTTTTCAGATGGGTTAACTAAGGCCCGGCAAGGGTCAGGGACTTGGTTGGGAGGGCCACTGGCCTAGGGGTTAGGGTACCAGCAACGCAGATACAAGCAAGCAACCATTTTCATGTTCTCTCCGCAGGTGCTAATGCGGAGAGTGGACTAGATGATACATCTGAGGGAAGGGAACAGAAGGAGACTCCGCCGATTGGAAGGCATGAGATGCACTGTCCTAGGGATAGGGGTTCCAAGACCACCGCTCCCAAGAAAAGGAGGCAGGTGGTGGTGGTCGGGGACTCTCTCCTCAGGGGGACTGAGTCATCTATGTGCCACCCCGACCGGGAAAACCGAGAAGTCTGCTGCTTGCCAGGAGCTAGGATTCACGATGTGAAGGAGAGACTGCTGAGACTCATCAAGCCCTCGGATCGCTACCCCTTCCTGCTTCTCCACGTGGACACCAATGATACTGCCAAGAATGACCTTGAGTGGATCACTGCAGATTACGTGGCTCTGGGAAGAAGGATAAAGGAGTTTGAGGCGCAAGTGGTGTTCTCAAGTGGTGTTCCTTCCTTCTCGTGAAAGGAAAAGGCCTGGGTAGAGACCGTCAAATTGTGGAAGTCAACGAATGGCTACGCAGGTGGTGTCGGAGAGAAGGCTTTGGATTCTTTGACCATGGGATGGTGTTCCAAGAAGGAGGAGTGCTAGGCAGAGACGGGCTCCACCTAACGAAGAGAGGGAAGAGCATCTTCGCAAGCAGGCTGGCTAACCTAGAGAGGAGGGCTTTAAACTAGGTTCACCAGGGAAAGGAGACCAAAGCCCTGAGGTAACTGGGGATGTGGGAGACTGGGAGGAAGCACGAGCAGGAGAGCGCAAGAGGGCAGGGCTCCTGCCTCATACTGAGAAAGAGAGAGACAATCAGCAAGTTATCTCAAGTGCCTATACACAAATGCAAGAAACCTGGGAAACAAGCAGGGAGAACTGGAAGTCCTGGCACAGTCAAGGAATTATGATGTGATTGGAATAACAGAGACTTAGCGGGTTAACTCACATGACTGGAGTACTATCATAGATGGATATAAACTGTTCAGGAAGGACAGGCAGGACAGAAAAGGTGGGGGAGTTGCATTGTATGTAAGAGAGTGGTATGACTGGTCAGAGCTCTGGTATGAAAACTACAGAAAAACCTGAGTGTCTCTGGATTAAGTTTAGAAGTGTGAGCAACAAGGGTGATGTCATGGTGGGAGTCTGCTATAGATCACCGGACCTGGGGGATGAGGTGGACGAGGCTTTCTTCCGGCAACTCATGGAAGTTACTAGATCGCAGGCCCTGCTTCTGATGGGAGACTTCAATCACCCTGATATCTGCTGGGAGAGCAATACAGCGATGCACAGACAATCCAGGAAGTTTTTGGAAAGTGTAGGGGACAATTTCCTGGTGCAAGTGCTGAAGGAACCAACTAGGGGCAGAGCTCTTCTTGACCTGCTGCTCACAAACCAAGAAGAATTAGTAGGGGAAGCAAAAGTGGATGGGAACCTGGGAGGCAATGGCCATGAGATGGTTGAGTTCAGGATCCTGACACAAGGAAGAAAGGAGAGCAGCAGAATACGGACCCTGGACTTCAGAAAAGCAGACTCATTCTCCCAGGGGATCCTGCCTATCAGTTCCCTGAGGGAGTCAAACATGAGGGGGAAAGGAGCCAAGGAGAGCTGGTTGTATTTTAAAGAATCCTTATTGAGGTTACAGGGACAAACCATCCCGATGTGTAGAAAGAATAGTAAATATGGCAGGCGACCAGCTTGGCTTAACAGTGAAATTCTTGCTGATCTTAAACACAAAAAAGAAGCTTACAAGAAGTGGAAGACTGGACAAATGACAAGGGAAGAGTATAAAAATATTGCTCAGGCACACAGGAGTGAAATCAGGAGGGCCAAATCGCACCTGGAGTTGCAGCTAGCAAGATATGTTAAGAGTAACAAGAAGGGTTTCTTCGGTATGTTAGCAACAAGAAGAAAGCCAAGGAAAGTGTGGGCCCCCTACTGAATGAGGGAGGCAACCTAGTGACAGAGGATGTAGAAAAAGCTAATGTACTCTATGCTTTTTTTGCCACTGTCTTCACAAACAAGGTCAGCTCCCAGACTACTGCACTGGGCAGCACAGCATGGGAAGGAGGTGACCAGCCCTCTGTGGAGAAAGAAGTGGTTTGGGACTATTTAGAAAAGCTGGACGAGCACAAGTCCATGAGGCCGGATGCGCTGAATCCAAGAGTGCTAAAAGAATTGGCGGCTGTGATTGCAGAGCCATTGGCCATTATCTTTGAAAACTGGTGGCAATTGGGGGAGGTCCTGGATGACTGGAAAAAGGCTAATGTAGTGCCCATCTTTAAAAAAGGGAAGGAGGAGGATCCAGGGAACTACAGACCAGTCAGCCTCACCTCAGTCCCTGGAAAAAGCATGGAGGAGGTCCTCAAGGAATCAAGTCTGAAGCACTTAGAGGAGAGGAAAGTGATCAGAAACAGTCAGCATGGATTCACCAAGGGCAAGTCATGCCTGACTAATCTAATTGCCTTCTATGACGAGATAACTGGCTCTGTGGATGAGGGGAAAGCGGTGGACATGTTGTTCCTTGACTTTAGCAAAGCTTTTGACACGGTCTCCCACAGTATTCTTGCCAGCAAGTTAAAGAAGTATGGGCTGGATGAATGGACTATAAGGTGGATAGAAAGCTGGCTAGATTGTCAGGCTCAAGGGGTAGTGATCAATGGCTCCATGTCTAGTTGGCAGCTTGTATCAAGTGGAGTGCCCCAAGGGTCGGTCCTGGGGCCAGTTTTGTTCAGTATCTTCATAAATGATCTGGAGGATGGCATGGATTGCACCCTCAGCAAGTTTGCAGATGACACTAAACTGGGAGAAGAGGTAGATACGCTGGAGGGTAGGGATAGGGTCCAGAGTGACCTAGACAAATTGGAGGATTAGGCCAAAAGAAATCTGATGAAGTTCAACAAGGACAAGTGCAGAGTCCTGCACTTAGGATGGAAGAATCCCATGCACCGCTACAGACTAGGGACCGAATGGCTAAGCAGCAGTTCTGCACAAAAGGACCTAGGGGTGACAGTTGACGAGAAGCTGGATATGAGTCAACAGTGTGCCCTTGTTGCCAAGAAGGCCAGTGGCATTTTGGGATGTATAAGTAGGGGCACTGCCAGCAGATCGAGGGATGTGATCATTCCCCTCTATTCGACATTGGTGAGGCCTCATCTGGAGTACTGTGTCCAGTTTTGGGCCCCACACTACAAGAAGGATGTGAAAAAAATTGGAAAACATCCAACGGAGGGCAACAAAAATTATTAGGGGACTGGAACTCATGACTTATGAGGAGAAGCTGAGGGAACTGGGATTGTTTAGTCTGCAGAAGAGAAGAATGAGAAGGGGATTTGATAGCTGCTTTCAACTACCTGAAAGGGGGTTCCAAAGAGGATGGGTCTAGCCTGTTCTCAGTGGTAGCAGATGACAGAACGAGGAGTAATGGTCTCAAGTTGCAGTAGGGGAGGTTTAGGTTGGCTATTAGGAAAAAGTTTTTCCACTAGGAGGGTGGTGAAACGCTGGAATGCGTTACCTAGGAAGGTGGTGGAATCTACTTCCTTTGAAGTAAGGTCAGGCTTGACAAAGCCCTGGCTGGGATGATTTAGTTGGGGATTGCTCCTGCTTTGAGCAGGTGCTTGGAGTAAATGACCTGAGGTCCCTTCCAACGCTGATATTCTATGATTGGCTGCCTTCTGTCTGATCCTTAATTTGCTCTGATCATTGATCACTTTTTACAGATGTTGAGAGGAAATGCAGGATGTGCTGCTCATGCATGCCTCGCCAGTGTAGGCCTCAAGCCTGCACATACAAATTTACCCAAGGAAGTTGTCTCAATTCGCAAAAATTTCAAAAGCTCCCACCTCACAGGACTCTACAGCCCAGGCTCCAGCCCGAGCCCAAACACCTACACTGCATTTAAACAGCCTCACAGCCCCTGTGAGCCCAAATCAGCCAGCATGGAACAGCCATGGGTTTTTAACTGCAGTGTAGACATATCTTAAGTGTCTTAGGGTTAGATTTTCAAAGGTATTTAAGTGCCTAAAGATGCAGGTAGGTGGCAGTGTGGAATTTATAGATGTGCCTAGGCAGGTTAGGTGTTTAATTCCCATTGAAACTCATAAGGGACAAACTCATGGAGGCACGTTTGTAAATCCTGCTAGGCGCCTAAATTCCCTTTGCCAATAGGTTCCTTAGTCACTTTAAAAAATGGGACTTCAATGTGCTTGAAAATTTTACTTGTTGACTGCCCTGGAACTAGCACACGGTCCTCGTCTTTGCAGGATCAAGTCTTCAGGTTGCTATCTGAAAGCAGTGGTCTTACCTCTCATCTCAATTACAAAACTCAAGCACTTACGAGCAAGGAAATGAGTATTTAAGATCACACCTCTTACATCACCCATATAACAAACATACATTATTCTTATAATATACAAGGTAATTAAGATATCATCACAATCTGGCCCCAATTCAGGAAAGCATGTAAGCATGTGCTTAGGTCCCACTGTCTTCAAGTTAAATTACATGCTTAAGCACCCTTCTTGAGTAGGGATACTTCACTGAACTGGGGGCTTAACTTTGACCCGGGCCTCATTTAGATACTTCCCAGGGAAATGGGACTAAGAATGCACAGTCGGTTAAGGAGATCAGTGGTAAAGCTTAGCTCCTGTTTATTAAAAAGGGAGCAGGACTGTGCCCACGTTCCAGGACATGTTTGGCTAACACTTTAGGCTTTGTGAACACAAGTTTCTACAAAACCTAGGATCAGTAAAAATGTTTCTATGATGTTAAATTTCATTTAAAATGTAAACAACTTATCCTTAAGGAATCCTCTGTGGTCCCTGCAGGACTGTGCTCACATGGGAAAACCAGGAAGTGAAATGTATTAGAAACTTTTATAAAACTAATTGTCCCAGCTCAGAGAAATGCAAAAATTGATCAAACAATGAAAAGAAATTTACATCTAAAATTTCTTTCAATATTTGCATCTGCCTTTGGAGGTGAAGGTGCTCAGTTCTCTTGAAAAAGCAGGCCACTTAGGCACCTAAATTCAGTTTCTAACTTGAGGGCTCCAATTTTTAAAGTCTTGGCCTGGGCAAAAAAGCTATGTCTGTACAGTCACTGTCTCACCTCAGACATCACTGTAATACGGATTCCACTCATCCACCCAGAAATGCAAAAAAAACACATCATGGTAAACATAAAGCAGCAAGTTTGTCATCTTCTCTATGAAGGACATCCTGTCCGTCAGTCCCCCCATGCTGGCAGGTACGTACGAAGGTGGGGCTGGAAGCCCCCCACACAGCGCTCCACTGTGTTCCCTTCAGAGAACCAGAAAGTATAGACAAAAGGGATTTCAAGCAACTCTGCTATCAGCTCACCGCCTGGCAAAAGAGGGCCTGAGATTAGGACATCAAACCCCGCTTTGCAAACTGGGAGTGTTGCAACTCCAGACTGTCCAGAATCTTTGTAGTTACCACTCCAGTCGAGATTTCACCTCTACCTGCAATTCATCCCTCAGGCTATTCTGGAAAGACTCTAGATGTTGCTTTAATTCCTTTTGCAAAGTCTCCTATTGTTTTAGGCCTTGTTATACTTTCTTTTGTCCAACTTCGATTTCTCTGAGCACTTCCATTATTTGTTCCATCTTGGTTCAACAGAAAGGCCAGCTCACAAGCTCTCTCCCTGAAAACTGGATCCCATGTTTTGTCCTGAACGGTTAACCAAAGTTCAGGGTCCTGTGGGTTGTTTCCGTTAGCAAGAGAAATTGAGAACGGAGACAGGTATCTATGAAGCAATCCTGTTTACTTGTAAAGAGTACACAAAGACCTGTTTCCTTCAACACAGGAGGAATCAGACAGCAGGAGGCCGTGTCTTCCAGCCAGCACTCTGCTCAAAAAGCTCGCTATAGAAGCTTTTCCCCCCCTAGGGGCCATTCTCCCAGTCCCAGGGCTTGTTCAGCTGTCTCCTTGGCTTTCTGTTCCTTTTCTCCTAGCTTCTCTGGTATGTTCATCTGCTTCTCTGACACAATCCAATCCAATGAATCCCCTGCCCCCAAGACTGTTATCAGATCACAGAGGAACACTGTGGGTCTCATGACAACTCCTACTCCAGCCTTGCATGTGACTTTGTTTTGGGCAGAGGCCCCTAACTGTTTCAGCTGTCTGGCTCCATGAAGAAGTTGAATTATTATATATTTTTATTTTTACATTTATCCAGAATGACGGGCACTGATACACCCACCAGTTTCAACAAGGTTTAACCCAACCTGTGAGAGTATTTATCTGACCAGCACCTCACAATTTTAAATGTATTTGTCCTGACAACACCCTGTGAGGTAATACAGTGCTAGTATCCCCATATACAGATAGGGAACTGAGGCAGAAAGAGACCGAGGCCTTGTCTAAACAGGTATTTTGTGTTGTTTGTTTTTAACCAGTACATCGATTTCCATGAAGGTATGTTTTGGGTGCTTTTTTTTTTAAAAAAAAACAAAACAAAATAGCTATACCAGTATAATCTCTAATGTGGACTCAGTGATGTTGACTGAAATGTGCCTTGTACTCATATAACTTATTCCCCTTTCCACATGGGAAAAGGCGATGCTGCTATAAACACCTTAACACATCCCTCCTCACTGCAGGGGTGGTACCATTTTAGTTACAATGGTATCGCTCACGCAGTACAACTTATCTACAGACAAGCCCTATGTAACTTGCCCAAGGTCACCCAGGAAATGTGTGACAGACCATGAAGTTGAAGCAAGGTGTCTGGAGCCCCAGGGTAGCACCCTACCCACTGGATTAGCCCTCCTTTTAGAAAATGCAGCCCTACATTTTTGATGTTATGGTATAGACACAATCATGGCAAACAAGAGCAGTCTTACCTAAAGCATCGCTGTAGTACTGACTCCATTCTCTCCACAAAACCTGGTGAAACAGAACATCCTGAAGAGCATAAAAGAGCATATTTTCCAATCTCTCCATGAAGGACATCCTGTCCGTCAGTCTCCCCGTGCTGGCAGGTACGTACGAAGGTGGGGCTGGAAGCCCCCCACACAGCCGCTCCACTGTGTTCCCTTCAGAGAACCGGAAAGTATAGACAAAAGAGATTTCAAGCAACTCTGCTATCAGCTCACCGCCCGGAGAAAGAGGGTCTGAGATTAGGACATCAAACCCCGCTTGCCGGAGCTTTGCTATCAGCCCGGGGTTCAGCACGACACTGTCACAGGTCTGCTTTGACATCTTGATAAAGACTTCAATGGATTCTTTCATTTTCAACATGATCTTCCAGTAGGACAGATGGGGAAGCTGGTACATCCACAGATGCAGGAAGTCCTCCAACAGGGCTTCCACGGTCTGCTTAGTAAAGGGCACCGACAGGACCTCAAAGTCAAATGGGGAAGAGGACTCATTGTAATCGACGAGCAAACTTGCTGAAGGCATCAGCACAGTCACATCATGGCCCCGAAGGGAGAGTTCCTCCAGCACCAGTTTTATGTTGAGCCAGTGACTGCCATCAGCGGGCCAGACCAGCACCTTCCCACATGATCCTGAGCCCCAGCAGCTCATGTGAACCCACAGCACCAGCAAAAGCCACTTCTTCAAAATCATGGCTGCACGTCTGCGACTCTCACTGGAACTCAGTTCAGTTCCAAAGTCCACGGTGTAAACACTTCTAAGCACGGCCCACAAAGACTGGATCCTGAACACTCCAATCTTCATATAAGGTCATTTCAATGCAAAACTACCATATGTGGGTGGGGACAGGCTCAGCAAGTGCCAAACTCTGTCGTGGATCGCCTAGGATTCTCCTACAGGAGAAGGCACTGTTTCCTCTGCAGGACAACTGTTGTAATGCACTGTGTGGAGAAGGTGGCTGTGGATGTAGCTGAGGCCCCTTTCCAAGGAGAAGAGAACGATCCATCCTTGGATGATAGGGCATGGATCACTATATTATCTTTTCACGGGAAACTCTGCATCACCCTTACCACCTCGCCTGCCCTACTCACCGATCACTGGGGCACAATCAGGGCCAGAGCTTTTTGCATTCAATGCCCAGCGTGATACTGCTAGTGCATCTAGGTCACAGAGCAGCCATCACACACTCACAGCCTTGAACATGAGCGCCTGTTTTTATCTTTAAGAGGGAAGGTGGTGAGGAACCAGGCCTCTCTGCTTAGTGTTCTCTTCAGCAACTCAGGGAATGCCATTTTTGGATCAACCAATTAACCTTTGGGAGTTGAAGTTTCCATTCTCAGAGCAGGTAGCTGGCAAACACCCAGCTTCCTCGTTATCTTGCTTGAGGGCAAATGCTGTCTCTGTGGGGTGTTCTCAGAACTCCACCCATCTCACAAACTCGAACAGTTTAAACTGCCTCTATCATGATGCCAACAAATAACTCGTCTCTGGCACGGTTTAGGCATATGACAAACTGAAACAGCTACTTCTCTGCATAGGCACCTTTTACTTCAGCTACTTGTTTGCAGTGAATATTTGCTTTACCTGAGCCACATTGTTAAAGGAAATTTCCACCTAATGAATTTGTAAGACACCTTTTCTTGGCATATATCATTAATGTCTGGTCTTACCCAACTCCTCAAGCTCATCCAGGTGGCCACCTTTCACTGTAGTCTGTAACCCTTTGATTTTCTTTTCAAGGTGATTTCTCAGATCCTGAAATCCTTACTGCAGCTCATCTCTGTTAGCAAGTTCCAAATTGGCCAGAGTTCGTTTGGTCTCCACTAATTCATGGAAAACCTTCTGGTCTATGGCAGTCAGGTTGCTGATCACCTCACTGATCTGTCTTACTATTGTCTTACTATTGCAAACTATTATAGTGTTGCAACTCCAGACTGTCCAGACTCTTTGTAGCTGCCACTCCAGTCGAGATTTCACCTCTACCTGCAATTCATCCCTCAGGCTATTCTGGAAAGACTCTAGATGTTGCTTTAATTTCTTTTGCAAAGTCTCCTATTGTTTTAGGCCTTGTTATACTTTCTTTTGTCAAACTTCGATTTCTCTGAGCACTTCCATTATTTGTTCCATCTTGGTTCAACGGAAAAACCAGCTCACAAGCTTTCTCCCTGAAAACTGGATCCCATGTTTTGTCCTGAACGGTTAACCAAAGTTCAGGGGCATGTGGGTTGTTTCCGTTAGCAAGAGAAATTGAGAACGGAGACAGGTATCTGTGAAGCAATCCTGTTTACTTGTAAAGAGTACACAAAGCCCTGTTTCCTTCAACACAGGAGGAATCAGACAGCAGGAGGCCGTGTCTTCCAGCCAGCACTCTGCTCAAAAAGCTCGCTATAGAAGCTTTTCCCCCCCTAGGGGCCATTCTCCCAGTCCCAGGGCTTGTTCAGCTGTCTCCTTGGCTTTCTGTTCCTTTTCTCCTAGCTTCTCTGGTATGTTCATCTGCTTCTCTGACACAATCCAATCCAATGAATCCCCTGCCCCCAAGACTTATCAGATCACAGAGGAACACTGTGGGTCTCATGACAACTCCTACTCCAGCCTTGCATGTGACTTTGTTTTGGGCAGAGGCCCCTAACTGTTTCAGCTATCTGGCTCCATGAAGAAGTTGAATTATTATATATTTTTACATTTATCCAGAATGACGGGCACTGATACACCCACCAGTTTCAACAAGGTTTTACCCAACCTGTGAGTATTTATCTGACCAGCACCTCACAATGTTAAATGTATTTGTCCTGACAACACCCTGTGAGGTAATACAGTGCTAGTATCCCCATATACAGATAGGGAACTGAGGCAGAAAGAAACCGAGGCCTTGTCTAAACAGGTATTTTGTGTTGTTTGTTTTTAACCAGTACATTGATTTCCATGAAGGTATGTTTTGGGTGCTTTTTTTTTTAAAAAACAAAACAAAATAGCTATACCAGTATAATCTCTCATGTGGACTCAGTGATGTTGACTGAAATGTGCCTTGTACTCATATAACTTATTCCCCTTTCCACATGGGAAAAGGCGATGCTGCTATAAACACCTTAACACATCCCTCCTCACTGCAGGGGTGGTACCATTTTAGCTACAATGGTATCGCTCACGCAGTACAACTTATCTACAGACAAGCCCTATGTAACTTGCCCAAGGTCACCCAGGAAATGTGTGACAGACCATGAAGTTGAAACAAGGTGTCTGGAGCCCCAGGGTAGCACCCTACCCACTGGATTAGCCTTCCTTTTAGAAAATGCAGCCCTACATTTTTGATGTTATGGTATAGACACAATCATGGCAAACAAGAGCAGTCTTACCTAAAGCATCGCTGTAGTACTGACTCCATTCTCTCCACAAAACCTGGTGAAACAGAACATCCTGAAGAGCATAAAAGAGCATATTTTCCAATCTCTCCATGAAGGACATCCTGTCCGTCAGTCTCCCCGTGCTGGCAGGTACGTACGAAGGTGGGGCTGGAAGCCCCCCACACAGCCGCTCCACTGTGTTCCCTTCAGAGAACCGGAAAGTATAGACAAAAGGGATTTCAAGCAACTCTGCTATCAGCTCACCGCCCGGAGAAAGAGGGTCTGAGATTAGGACATCAAACCCCGCTTGCCGGAGCTTTGCTATCAGCCCGGGGTTCAGCACGACACTGTCACAGGTCTGCTTTGACATCTTGATAAAGACTGCCATGCTTTCCATCAATTTCACCAGGCCCTCCCAGTAGGACAGATGGGGAAGCTGGTACATCCACAGATGCAGGAAGTCCTCCAACAGGGCTTCCACGGTCTGCTTAGTAAAGGGCACCGACAGGACCTCAAAGTCAAATGGGGAAGAGGACTCATTGTAATCGACGAGCAAACTTGCTGAAGGCATCAGCACAGTCACATCGTGGCCCCGAAGGGAGAGTTCCTCCAGCACCAGTTTTATGTTGAGCCAGTGACTGCCATCAGCGGGCCAGACCAGCACCTTCCCACATGATCCTGAGCCCCAGCAGCTCATGTGAACCCACAGCACCAGCAAAAGCCACTTCTTCAAAATCATGGCTGCACGTCTGCGACTCTCACTGGAACTCAGTTCAGTTCCAAAGTCCACGGTGTAAACACTTCTAAGCACGGCCCACAAAGACTGGATCCTGAACACTCCAATCTTGATAGAAGAATAAGGTCATTTCAATGCAAAATTACCATATGTGGTGAAAGACTCAGCCAGTACCAAATCCTGTCCTGAATCACCTAGGATTTTCCTTCCGGAATGAAACTGATGGATTCTCCTGCAGAATTGAAAACAACCTGATCCCTCTGCCGGACAGCTATTGTGACACAATGTGCATTTCCAGTTCTGCAGGAAAATTACAGTCTTTGAATTGCAAACTACAACCCCAGTCCAAAGCTCACTAAATCAATGAGTCTTTTCACTGATTTCAGTGGGCTTTGGATCAGACCCTTGTTACCAGGACTTGACCCTGTAATCACTGGTTTTTCTTTCACCAATCATGACTCACTGTCACCAACTTATTCATGATTTGTGATTGGCTGATGAATAGTTTTACAGACCCACTTGGGTCTGCGGCATTTGGGAACACTTGTCCTGAATGTGAGTGTGTGACTGGTCACCTGGTTTCTGCCTCCACGCTGGGTGATAGGAGTAGTTCCTGAGGAGGTCCCTGGGGAGAGTCAGCAAAGGTGGGAGGCACTCCCGGAGACGGGCAGGCAGAGGAAGCTTTAGGACATCGCAGTGTCGCAATTCTTGCCCACTTGGCTGCTGCTGTGGCTTCTCCTGCTTTCCAAGTGAAGTGCTCTTGCTGGCTTCCCATTTCTCCATGGTGGTGCAGGCAGGGCTGCAGAGCCTCCATGTCACACGGGCCAGCACCTATTACACACAAAGCATAGGGCCAGATTGCCCCTCCCCCATGGGAAAACCCCCAGGGCAAAGCAAAGGGGGAACGGGTTCTCCTGAGGTGCTCTGTGGAGGGTGGCCCCACACAGAATGGGGCAGCCCACTAACCCCACGATCCCCCAGGAGCCACATGGATCTCACCAAATCAGCAAGAGGCCTGGGCAATCTGCACGGAAGCCCTGTGCCTCCGCACTTCCACAGAGGGACTCAGGGTCATGGTGCAGTGGAGCCAGGATTACAGGGACCCCACCAAACACAGCTGTCCCCAGGATCCTTCCTGTAAGGGGAGTCTCACGCAGTGGGGGAGGGGTGGCAGGATAATAGAGCTGGGGACTGTATTATCTTTCTCTGGGAAACTGCAGGGCTGATGGTGGGACAATCCTAATCACCCTACCCCAGCTGTGTGTGCGTGCAGATCCCTGGACCCACAGAGAGCCCTTTGCCGGCTCTGGGAAGAGGTGGCTGTGAAGGCAACTGAAGGATAGGGCATGGATCACTGTATTATCTTTCCATGGGATACTGCATCACTTCTACCCCTGCCCCACCCCACTCCATCACCAGGGCACCCTCAGGGCCAAAGTTTTTTGCATACACTGCGAAGTGTGATACTGCGAGTGCTTCTAGATAATAAAGCAGCCATGACATACTCCACCTTGCACATGAGAGCCTGCTTTTATCATTAAGAGGGAAATTGGTGAGGAGCCAGGTCTCTCAGCTTAATGTTCTCTTCTGCCGTTCGAGGAATGCCCTGGATCAACCAGTTAAGCCTTTGGGAGGAGAGAGTTTCATGGAAGTGTCCATTCTCAGAGCACGTGTAACACCGACAGACCCCCCCCCCCCATCGTTGTCAGGCAGGATCAAACCTGGGACCTCTGGAGCTGAATGCATGAGCCTCTACCGCATGAGCTAAAAGCCACGTGGCTGTTAGCTAAGGCTGGAGAGCAGACTCAATCTCGCTAAGAGGTCTCGGTGCCACCACATGGGACAGAACCCCACACCCAGGAGGTGTGTGGGTTACACAGGTACCTTGTCAATGCACGGCTTCCTCATAATATTGCCTGTCGTTTATTTCACAAAACTCTGATAAAAATCAAACTCCAACAAGTTTTAATTACTTCTGCCATGATGCCAACAAATCACTCCTCTCTGGCACTTCTTAGGCATATGGCAAGCTGACACTTTTGCTTCTCTGCTGAACTCACGTCAATGTATTGTTACCTCATCCTTCCAATAGCATGCATCCGTTTTGTCCACCTCTCACATCAGGTCTGACACCCAGATTGCAAGATCTCTGAGTCAGGGCTTATCTTTTCTGTTACTTATCTGTACAAGGCCTACCACAGGGGCCTTGACTGTGGTTCACAGGAGCTACCATAGAATAAACAACCAATTACCATGAGCATAATAAATTAGATTGGTATCTAGAAAAGTAATTAGGTGATTTGAATAAAGAACGGGGGGGGGGGAGGGGGAAGGAAGCAGTTCAAAAACACCCGAAGGATTTAGAAGCTCAAGTCCCTCAATGGTGCTTGTGCTCCTACATCCCTTACACACTCTTGAAAACCTCTTTTGGTCTAGATTTTTTATTTTGTAAAGACAGTTTAAACTCTTTGTACATAAAGACAAAGAGCCAAACAACTAGTGACTTTATAACAGTAGGTTTAAATTATTTTTTCTTTTTTTTTTTTTCGTGAGCAATGTCAGCCTATCGAACCCGGGAAAGCAAACCAGCATGAATCCATTTTATATCTGAGTTCACATGGGAAATGATTTATCTTCTCCCCCTTTGCATATCAGCATTATTTGCAGTGCAGCAGCTCCTGATATGCTAGGTTCTGTACAGACACATAGGACAGCAGGCTGGGCCCCAAAGAGATTACAGTCTCAAAAGACAAAACCAGATGAATGTTTCAACAACTCCACTGCTACACCTTCTCATCTGGGAAACTCAGTATGTTGCACCTTCACTGGGTGATGTCCCAAAAGTCTCCATTTCAACAGCACTAGTCACTTATAACTAGCTACTTATTGTTCATTGCAGTATTTGCCCTGATCACACCTTAATCTGGGCCTTTTAAAACACATTCTTCGAAAACGTAGAGTAGTCAGGACCTGATTGATAAGCCCTGGCAGCTTCGTTTACGTCAAGTGGACCTGCGTATGCTTAGCCCCTTTCGAAATCAGGCCTCATTTTGTCATTCTTATAAAAAGGTTCAAAATAGAAACTAGAGCCCAGAGTGTTACATTTGATCAATTCACTGCAAACAGCCATCAGCTTTCAAAATGGTTCCCGGTGTCGGAGAGAAGGCTTCGGATTCTTTGACCATGGGATGGTGTTCCAAGAAGGAAGAGTGCTAGGCAGAGATGGGCTCCTCCTAACGAAGAGAGGGAAGAGCATCTTCGCAAGCAGGCTGGCTAACCTAGAGAGGAGGGCTTTAAACTAGGTTCACCAGGGGAAGGAGACCAAAGCCCTGAGGTAACTGGGGATGTGGGAGACCAGGAGGAAGCACGAGCAGGAGAGCGCGAGAGGGCAGGAGTCCTGCCTCATACTGAGAAAGGAGGACAATCCGCGAGTTATCTCAAGTGCCTATACACAAATGCAAGAAGCCTGGGAAACAAGCAGGGAGAACTGGAAGTCCTGGCACAGTCAAGGAATTATGATGTGAGTGGAATAACAGACTTGGTGGGATAACTCACATGACTGGAGTACTGTCATGGATGGATATAAACTGTTCAGGAAGGACAGGCAGGGCAGAAAAAGTGGGGGAGTTGCATTGTATGTAAGGGAGCAGTATGACCGCTCAGAGCTGCGGTATGAAACTGCAGAAAAACCTGAGTGTCTCTGGATTAAGTTTAGAAGTGTGAGCAACAAGGGTGATTTCGTGGTGGGAGTCTGCTATAGACCACCGCACCAGGGGGATGAGGTGGACGAGGCTTTTTTCCGGCAACTCACGGAAGTTACTAGATCGAAGGCCCTGGTTCTCATGGGGGACTTCAATCACCCTGATATCTGCTGGGAGAGCAATACAGCGGTGCACAGACAATACAGGAAGTTTTTGGAAAGTGTAGGGGACAATTTCCTGGTGCAAGTGCTGGAGGAACCAACTAGGGGCAGAGCTCTTCTTGATCTGCTGCTCACAAACCAAGAAGAATTAGTAGGGGAAGCTAAAGTGGACGGGAACGTGGGAGGGAGTGACCATGAGATGGTTGAGTTCAGGATCCTGACACAAGGAAGAAAGGAGAGCAGCTGAATACGGACCCTGGACTTCAGAAAAGCAGACTTTGACTCCCTCAGGGAACTGAGGGGCAGGATCCCCTGGGAGAATAACATGAGGGGGAAAGGAGTCCAGGAGAGCTGGCTGTATTTTAAAGAATCCTTATTTAGGTTACAGGGACAAACCATCCTGATGTGTAGAAAGAACAGTAAATATGGCAGGCGACCAGCTTGGCTTAACAGTGAAATCCTTGCTGATCTTAAACACAAAAAAGAAGCTTACAAGAAGTGGAAGATTGACAAATGACCAGGGAGGAGTATAAACATATTGCTCAGGCATGCAGGAGTGAAATCAGGAAGGCCAAATCACACTTGGAGTTGCAGCTAGCAGGAGATGTTAAGAGTAACAAGAAGGGTTTCTTCAGGTATGTTAGCAACAAGAAGAAAGTCAAGGAAAGTGTGGGCCCCTTACTGAATGAGGGAGGCAACCTAGTGACAGAGGATGTGGAAAAAGCTAATGTACTCAATGCTTTTTTTGCCTGTGTCTTCACAAACAAGATCAGCTCCCAGACTGCTTCACTGGGCAGCACAGCATGGGGAGGAGGTGACCAGCCCTCTGTGGAGAAAGAAGTGGTTTGGGACTATTTAGAAAAGCTGGACGTGCACAAGTCCATGGGGCCGGATGCGCTGCATCCAAGAGTGCTAAAGGAGTTGACGGATGTGATTGCAGAACCATTGGCCATTATCTTTGAAAACTCATGGCGATCGGGGGAAGTCCCAGATGACTGGAAAAAGGCTAATGTATTGCCCATCTTTTAAAAAGGGAAGGAGGAGGATCCTGGGAACTACAGGCCAGTCAGCCTCACCTCAGTCCCTGGAAAATGCATGGAGCAGGTCCTCAAGGAATCAATTCTGAAGCACTTAGAGGAGAGGAAAGTGATCAGAAAAAGTCAGCATGGATTCACCAAGGGCAAGTCATGCCTGACTAATCTAACTACCTTCTATGACGAGATAACTGGCTCTGTGGATGAGGGGAAAGTGGTGGACATGTTGTTCCTTGACTTTAGCAAAGCTTTTGACACGGTCTCCCATAGTATTCTTGCCAGCAAGTTAAAGAAGTATGGGCTGGATGAATGGACTATAAGGTGGATAGAAAGCTGGCTAGATTGTCGGGCTCAACGGGTAGTGATCGATGGCTCCATGT